ATCATTGTTATTATCATCATCATCATCATTGTTATTATCATCATCATTATCATTGTTATTATCATCATCATCATCATTGTTATTATCATCATCATTATCATTGTTATTATCATCATCATCATCATTGTTATTATCATCATCATCATTATTATCATCATCATCACCATTGTTATTATCATCCTTTTCCATAATATCATCATTACCGTTACAAACATCTCTTCTGTGTCTGCACGTGACCTGCGACCCCTGACCCCCGACCCACTTGACCCCGTGACCTGTAACCCCTGAACTCTGACCCCGTGACCCCCTGACCTGTAACCCCCGACCCCTGACCCTCCCAGACATGGCGGTACAGAATGTGATCGGTGACAGCTTCAGAGGAGCCACTTGGGTGGCGCTACACAACGGAGGAGGAGTGGGATGGTGAGTTGTTGCTTTGTTTGTTTGTCTTCTGTTTGTTTGTTTGTTGTTTTTTGTTGTTCGTAGTTTTAATAAAAGTTTTACCGCCCATGCAACACAAAAAGGTTATACAAGCGAAGAAGATTGAAGGTGTTGCTAGAGACTGATATACAACGAAGAGAAGGAGAAGAAATGAGGACGATATAATATATTAGCATGCTTGGCAAGGAAGAAGTGGCTAACCTCACTAGTACAATATATTATTATGTTCAATTTGCCTCTTCCTTCTGATGTAATAGCACGGTCCATGGCGCACAAACTTCCCAGAGCAATTCCCCCCCTCCCCCCCCATTCTTGTTTTTTCTTCTTAAAAAAATAGAGAGCCTAGAGTGGAGACAATGGCAGTGGGTGATTTAGGAGTACAAATCTATGGCTGAGGACAGAACTGAATGATGAACTTAACTACTGCTCACTGCTATAACTATAGCGTCAGTTTATTAGAACATTCATTGTTTGTAAACCCTTTTGAAAAAATCGTATCATTCATTGTGTTTGTTTGCTTTTTTCTCTCTAGGGGTGAAGTGATGAACGGAGGCTTTGGTCTCCTTCTGGATGGTTCACAGGTAGGTGATACAAGATGTTAAGTAGTGTCTCTATTTCTTTCTTTCTTTCTTTCTTTCTTTCTTTCTTTCTTTCTTTCTTTCTTTCTTTCTTTCTTTCTTTCTTTTTTTCTAAAAAATAATCAATTAAATAATTTATTCGTTTATGTATTTATTTGCTCTATATTATTTCATTTATACGTTTATTAATGTATTTAATTGTCTATTCTTTCCCTATAATATCATAAACACAATGAACATAACGGTCGTCTTTCAGTCTCTTACTCTGTTCGTAATCTACTCTTTTATTTATTTGTTATTTATTTGAATCATAAAACTTTATTTTTTATTAATTCTTTGAATCATACATCTTAGAACACATCTTTATTTTTACTTACTTCTCTGAACCACACATCTCTGTATTTATTCCTTCTCTCAAACTTCTATTGCAAAGAGATTATTCTTGCTGTTACTTGTCACCTCCTCTATTCTTCTATATTTTTATTCCTATCCTATACACTTTCATTAAACAAAAAACAACCCCAACATTATTTTAATAAATATTTGATAACCCTTTAATTCTTTAACGATTCATTTTTTTTTTTCACTCATCCAGTGTGTCACTCTTTCATTCTGTTTCTATTATCAGGTCGTAACTAAATACGACTTCCTCTCTAATACGGGGTGCTCATTACGTCAGGTCGGGGCGCTTGTCCGACTTGACCGCCCGAAAACAAACGCCGATCCGACCCGCAATGGGCACCTCGTGTTATGCAGTAGTGTCTCATTACTCGTTCATTTATTCCCTCCCCCCCCTGTCTACTCCACGGGCAGGAAGCGGCTCACAAAGCGCGCGCGATGTTGGCCTGGGATGTCAGTAACGGGGTGAGTCGTCTTCTCCCAAACGTTTTTCCCTCAGCCGTTGTTTTTCGTAAGAGTTTTGTGTTTGTTTTAGCAGAGGTTTTACAGCGCTCGCAACATGCATTAGGTCATATGAGCGGCAACGGGTGGATTTCAACAGAGAAGTCCTTACAGGGAATCAGGCTTACTCTGCTC